CATTACCATTCTCACCTCACTAGGAAGGTACCGCATAACCGTTTCTCAATTTTTAACGTACAGCATCATGGGCACATGTTGATGTCTCGATGTCTGGTGTGCAACTCGGTATAAATATGTACCATAAACCATCGTCTATATACGGATATATCCAGCAAATTGTGTGGCTGTGTATCAGCATGTATTGAATGCCAACGAGTTAAATAAAAGAGGCACCAAAGAATGGTTGGGATCATCCTAACACAGCGTCACAGCGTGCACCAATACAAGGTTTTCCTGTACTCATTAGCCGACGTTTATCCGGCAAAACCAAGAAGGGACTACGAGGTACCGTGGCTTTGGCGGAAGGATCGATCGACGCGTCCAATGACCCTCAACCATTGCACAATCCCATCCGATATACGCCTTTTCTACCGTTTGCCCCCCCCCCCCCCCCCGAGATTATTCGCCAATTTAATACACCTCTTTTTCCATTTCCCAATTAATTACCACAATGTTTTTTTTTTCAATAAATTCGTGATACGTTTAAAATTCAAATTCAACACCGTTCAGATAACAACGAAATTAATATTTTTTAAGCATACAACTGTAGTTGTAATAATTGCTGCCCGGAAAGATTTCAATCGATAAATGTAACAGCGTTCTCAATTAAAGAATCACTGTTTTCTTAATTATTCAAACATTCACCGAGTGATTGTTAATAATCTAATATATTTATGCTAATGGCAGATGAATAAATTTGAATTGCTGTGTATACTGGGTGTACGAGAGATGGATGGTAAAATTCGGGGACACGGGAAATGACGAGTAAAACGGAAATCCCAGTGCTTTTCACACCAAAAAACCGCTCCTTTGATGAGAAAATTCTACAATTGGAGTTATTGCCACGTTTTTATTCTATGAGCTTGTTAGTCGCCTCATTATCCTCCTTTTACGTTGAAATTTCCTTATAAATTTATTTTCCGAGGTGATCCTATCAGGTTGATGAAGTCGAACCCACAACCGAGCGGTGGAATGACGACCGGAAAAGATGAATCCACGTCTTTCAAACGAAACTGAAATTCCGTGGCCCTCTCTCCAGGGGCGTTGACCCATGTCACTCCCAGGAACTTCGAAAATTCTCGGTTTTATTCTAATGTGTCATGCCGCCCCGGGGTATCCGTCTATTTATTTTTCTCCATCTAATGCAATCAATGGGTTGAACCCAAGCTGTCTCATCTCGATTATTAATTCGTTTAAAAATCCCAGGACTTAGGCTGTACTTCTTAAATTTAAATGAGGGAGAAATAATTGTTTTATTTTATATCATTTTTTATTTTACAAAGTTTCACTGAAAAAAATTTACAAAATTTAATTATTTCATATTCGATTTTCAAGATGAGTTTGAAAATTTCAGGTTTTTGTAAGCATTGTCAATAAAAATAGAATTTTAATTCTATAATTAAAAATTTGCATGATCACAGATGAATCTGGAGAAATTGGTAATATATTTGAGTGTTTGGCAATATAATACACGCGGAGTTAACAGCTGAAATGTAGTGCATGGGGGGCATTACCCGGGACCAGCGGAAGGTTGTTGCCCTTGGACTCGGGGCCATCCTAAATCCGCGGTTTTTTTTTCTTATATATTTTTATTCCATCCTCTCCTTTTCCTACCGCCGAAGTTTCGGTAATGAACCCATTGTTGAGTGAGTGCTCGTACGTTTCATTCTTACGTTAATACACGCACATATTCCCCCTCGAGATTCCTCCTCGTATAGTTCCCCGTCTTTCTCCTTTGCGATTGCAATCCACCGACGATACAACGACGATTCAACGACGCGCCGTCCCGACGGCTTGTATTATCTTTCTTTTGTGTTTTTTACACCTCTCTGTCTCCTTTCGCTGCACTCTTACAAAGAAAATAACCTCGACTAGGAATTTCAAATTCAAAGGAATTGCAGAGAAAAATTATGTGTTAATATAATATATATATAATATGTAAACATCCATATGTATTTGCCCATGTAACCAGCAATTTACGGTCTTTCCAAAAAAGACAATCCATTGAGAAGTTAGTCGCTAATTTATCCACAATTGGTGCTATTATTTTTATAAAAAAAATGCAATTATCCACTTGTTGTTCTGAAATACGGGGTAGAGTCGATCGTGTGAAACACGTGACATCCTCTCCTCGGAGGTGGGTGTCCCACACCGTTAACCCGAGGAACAAGCAATGTTCCCTTTGATTACTAAACACAAATGGATATCAGCTGAACTGTTTCTCTTCCGATTACTCGATTTTTTCATTAGAAGGTATCGGTATCGCTGGGATCGAAGATAATGCGAATGTACCTTTCATTTTGCAAAACACAATACCGATTTACAAATAAAATTCTCCTCCAGTGATTGACCATTACTGAATTGTCAACGATTTTTCAAACCGATAATTAATATTTCCATAATTGTAATAAAATTTTCAAGTCTTGACTTTCGGACTTGGAGAGACTATTGTTCGGATGGATGTTGTAGTGGCGGTGCCCTTAGAATCACATGTGGAATATGAATATGAATATGAATATGAATATGAATATGAATATGAATATGAATATGAATATGAATATGAATATGAATATGAGGGTACCCGCAGGCGTGGGTCGGCTTTATTCATTTCCTCGTGCGGTTTCTCGTGGTCTATTCGTTTGTTGTATACAAACCCAGTGGCGTAGAACTGACGAGAGATTCCTATATAACGAATCACACCCACGCCGTCACTTTTTTAACATCCACTCGCCTTCGTAGTTTCAATGTTCAATGGGTACATGGCACACCCTTAATCCAGTGTAGAATCCCCCTCGTCGATTCAGCCGTGAAAATGGCGTGCGCCTTCACACTAATTCCGTTTCTAAATCTCAATTCATGTATTTAAAACAGACAATATTATTCCTCTTATTTCATTTGAAAATGGTAAATCGCGAATCGTCGTAATTTGCAATCATTGGGAAGCGCTAAATTTTGGAACCTAAAAATTGATAAATATTTTGTCGCGTTCCCAAAAAATGGTGCTGCGTCACTGGCTATGATAATAAGTCTGCACTCATGCGGTGCAGTATTGTGAGAGGAATCATGAAGGGGCGACAGAAAAAAAAAAATGCCGAAGGGTTATTGTTTCGGAGAAAGGTGAGCACCGGTGTGCGACGTGTACACGTGTCCCTCGCGGAGACCATCCTGTCGATATTTTTCTTTGGAATTTAAAAAAACATTAAAATGTGTATGGGTGAATGGAGAGAAGGTCCTTTGGGCGAAATTAGTGAGAGAGATGGGGGACTTGAAGATGGCTGAATAAATGGAGTGTTCACCCTGTAGGTGGGTGGGGGACGCGTGCCTCGTACGCGAATACGCGTGTCCAGGGTGAAATTGTGCGAAACTTCATGACTATGAAGTACAGAGTTAGCAGATATTTTCAAAGAATAAAAATCACGAGAACATCTGTGGAGCAGGTGTTCCCTCGATAATACTCGGTGCGGTTTGCATACCAAATGTGTGTTATTGGGAAAGAACTTCCTGATTGATTTTTGTTCTCTCCAGTAGAGCAAAACCGTGTTTACGTCTGTTCTTCTGCTCTTCACAACTGCAAGGAATTCCAATTTCGATTTCGCCATCTTTCCATTTATTTTAAACCAGAGCAAAAACTCTTATCGTCCATGCCAGTGTAAAATAATGATGAATCATTAAAATTTTCCATTTTTCATATAATATGGGATGAGTATTTTTTATTGAAAAAACGTCTGGCATCTGCGTGGACATTTCTACAGTTAAATAAAATGTGGTATTGGCATGAAGGCAAATGCTCTGGGTGCTACTCAGACGAGCATGATGGACGGTGTATTCCACGTGGGATACGTAATGTGCGTGGCAAAAGAGGCTGTACCAAACGGAAGATGATAATAGTGTACAAGTCTTTCAATCTCGTGCTCTTCGTCTATGCCTCGTAGGGCGGAAGTACGTAGAGAAATACTCAATTACACCCTGAATCACGCAACTTGTCTGTCAATGTGCCATATACAATCACAAGAAACTTCAGGCGAAAAAGTGAACATCGTAAACCAACAAAATGGCACTATTACAGGGATTACGTGTGTATCTGCGTGGATAATTTCATGTGTCATATGTCCACTTCGTACGGGGAAAAATGACAAATAAAAAAAAAACCATCACCAAAACGTCGACTATGAATGGGCGTGAAAATGGGAGAAAATCTCCATTGAATTTCTCATTCATCTGGAAGGTTCACAGAAATTAATGGAATTTATGATGAATTATGCGAAAATTTAATGTCACGTTATTTTCCGTGTAAGGAATTTCGTGGGGTTCAATTTTTCTATTCATTCTTTTGAAAAGTAGATTTTTTTATTCAAGCTAATCAGTAGTAATGATTTTTTAGAGTGGAAACGATGGGATCAGTCGAATAATGAGCCAATCTCTGTAGGATCAGCGGAAGAGGCTGGAGATTATCGTTCTAGCTCATTAAATTATGCTAAGACGATTGGTCCGGTCACCTCAGCCAATAATTTCCCGTAATTTAATAAACTCACCCTCTGTACTTGAAAACCTGATACAAGTGTATCATGCAGTCCCTGGAAATCTCCTCGGTGGGAGATTCCGAGTGGAATTGAACACACGCACAGGGAGTGAATTTATCGTTGGGGACTTGGATCACAGGAGTCACTGTTATTACTGACAGTTTGATGGTATCTTTCACGTATGGAGGAAGGGGTAATGATGATAGTCAACGCTCAGTCGATTACAGAATGCCAATGGCCCCCGTATGCATCTGCCCCATTGAAATCATTTTTTTGTCTCAAGCCTTCTCAACTTTTTCATGTTCCCATGAAGATGATCCCACCATTCCCAGCATTAAAATCACAAAGACGATACTTTTCACAATTTCATTTTCAATTTCCTCTTAAATTTTTTCACTCGATTGATTTCCTAATTGACAACTTCCTTATCCGTTGCAGATTCGACAAACGAAGGAATGTCGAGGGTATCAGAGCGCCCAAACGGATCTCCAGGATGGCGAATCAATGGAAAATAGTCCAGCGCCAGAGGAAACGTCAATGACAGGGAAATTGACCATAAAAAATACAAGAGCCTCACGATAGTTTGAATAAGACAGCTCCAACAGGTCGAAAATAAAAAAAAAAATTAAAAAACTGCTCATCCGTACTGAAAGAGAAAAAAATGATTGGACGAAGGAGACCATATCACATCGAGTGATCATGAATTTGTTGAAATGCATTTTGGTTGAGCTGTCAGAAATGCCATAATAATGACCAAGTTTTAATTTGTGGTTGTACTTAAGTCATACCCTCTACACGATAAGCCTTTTAGCGTTTCTTTACACAAAACGGCTACGCTGGCATTCCATTATCAGAGAGTGTCTCATAGTTTTTGTTTCTTATTCATCCGCAATTGCAGAATATCAAATGATTACAGAGTCGATCTCCTTTCCCTTTTCTCCCTCTCCACCCCCTTTCCTCCTTCATCCCTTTTTTTTAATTTTTTTTTTATTCCAAAACGTACATCCCCCATTACCGTTATGTTAACTCTTGAACCTTAAGGGAAACAGTGTGATACGAACAAAAGTAAATTACATATCCATTAGAGGAATGAACAGCGAGGTTTACGATGCTTAATACTAGAAATCATCGGGAGAAAAAAGAGAGAAAAACGGGAGAAAAATGTTAAGATTGAGGGAATCAAGCAAGGCTGACTCATTCAATCCAGTGGTCCCATCGGAATAATCAAATTCATTTTGATAATTGTGGACGAACGATAAATTTTATCACAGAGTGAAAAATACTTTTTCATTTTTGGAATGATGTCGAAAATTTAATGGGAGTAGAAAGATTCATGGATTATTCGAATTTAAATTTAATTGAAGTGTAAGAATGAGGGAAAATTAATGATTTATCTCTGTGATCCCTCGGGATTTGGGACCACGATGATAAAACACTCACGGCCAATATTAATTTTCGGTATCCGGGCCTTAGTCTCATTTTTGTGATTATTATAGAGGTACATTATCGTTTAATGTAGTTTAGGCTAGGCTTTTTTAATTGTATGAATGCATCGGAAACATTTCAAAATGAGCTAGAATGTGGTGTGGACATTTTGTCGGCCAGTCGGTGGCATTTCGTCGTTGTTAGCAGTAGAGAATGGAAAATTCACGATTAAAGTCAAGTGGCCTTATTAAACAATAAAGAAAAGTTAGAGGAATTGCAGGAAGCCCTAAAAATCCATAGCAAAAAGGTAAAAGTTGACAAGTTCACAGGAATCGAAGGGAAATATCGAAATTTTTGTCAGGACCTCTTTTACCGAGTGCAATTAGAGCTACAAAAAAGTTCCTCCACAAATTTTGGTGTATCCCTTCATTCGGAGTTATTCTCTTGTTACCCTTTTACCTGTTTGCTGAAATATCTGTTCCACTGCTCCAGAATGAGTAAATTTTATGTGGGAATTTCAGTACGAGAGAGAACGCACGTGAGAGAAAAAAAAAGTTAGAGATAACGGTAACGATAAGCTCCAAGTTAACTGATAAAATAATTGTTCAGTTTAAGATATCCAGTTGCATTAAGTAATGGTTTTTTTTTTCCTATGATTTTTTTTTCTGTGACGAAGGCACTCGGTCCCCTTTACGATTGAACTCTGTGCGATGTAATTATTCCATGTGAATGGGTATTTCGTGCTCCGATGTTCTCAGGTAGCTCACTATTGCCACGATGACGATATAGTTTTCGATGATGAGTCGGATGATTACGACTCTGTCCCCTCTATTCTGAATTTTTGACTCTTTATTATTTTCTCTGTTCCATGGGTCACTGCCATTATTTATCGATGGAAATTGACCACTTTTATTTCTTTTTCACCCTCAGCTAGCAGTTTTCGTGGTGAAAACGCTCAAAACGTAAGGGTCGAGGATCGATTGTGCCTTCGAAAATTATGATCTTCGAATGAGTTATTGAGTAAAATGAAAAAGTGGTTGCAAAGAGGATTTTGTATCCGGTTTTGTGATTTCATGAGCAATTGTTCAGTTTTATTTTTTTTTTACTTCTGTATTGCTTACATAGAGTAGATTAATGTATTGATTAGAAAATGTTGCAATAAATGACAATGAATTCACATAATTCCCTGTGTTTTTCATAAATTCACCACTTGAAATTCTTTTTTAATTAGAAAAAAATTCAGAAAATATATTTGCCATTCCAAAAATAAAAATATATTCAATCAAGATATAAAAAATTAAACAAATAGATGAAATGAATAATATGCGCAGAAATTGATGTAAAAAATTATCAGTAGGCGGCGCTAGTGTAGCCAGCATAAATTTTTCTGAGATGTTCGAACCTACACACAGCATCAGATTAGTGAATATTGCATAATCATTTATCATTGAACCTTACCTCTCGTGTAGTTCTCAACGATTTTATTCTCTGGACAGAGTGATTTTCTTGTAATCGAAAAAACTCCTGCATTATTTTCAGCAACAGCAATGGGCACACATAAAATCAAGGTACACGACTTTCACTTCAAAAATAAAGTAATAATGACTATTCACAAAGAACGCCTGTTGATCTCCACTGTCATGGACCTTTCAAATGAAATTTTCTTTGACATTACTGAAGTACCAAATTTATGGGGTTCTCATAATTTTTTTGGATGCATTTCAATGGAATCTTCCATTGGTTAAAATGATCACGTTGACCGACAATGAAATTCAACAACTGAGTTACAAATTTTACGGTAACTGCACTGCCCCTCCGGTAGTTTCATTTCCCCCATTATATTATTCCGGCTTTTTCAGTGAAATGATGCCTATTCGTAATATTTAACAACTGGGAATTACGTCCGGTGGAGAAATATTTCATTTCAAAAATCGTAACGGAAATGGCCGAAATTACCTAGAGGGAATGCTTCTGAAGAAATTTAATTTAAATATTTTGCTTTTATCATCTTGAATTTTGAAATCGACTTTTAATTCGTTATTCCCACAGATTGGAATAATTGGGGGATCTGGGCTGGACGATTTTGCCAAAAATTTCCTGATTGATAGTAAGGTAATCGAACGAGAGAACGTTATCTCAGATTTTGGTTACCCCAGCAGCGATATTTATCAAGGAACGGTTTCAAACATTCCAGTGGCCTTGATATTTAGGTAATAATTTCTTTTAACAAAAAAATCACGGACTGTAAAGTGCGATGGTGAAGAGCATGTAGAAAAATCTCATAGGCGGTGAGCCGAACGATGCGTTCTCATGTGAACGTTTGAAACATCAATTATCATTCTCATAAAATATTCACAAATGCATTTGAAAATGGGAATTTCAAGTCACCACTTTATTTTTCCCGACCATTTACTCAGGCATGGAGTGGGTCACACAGTGTCTCCAACGAACGTGAATTACCGGGGAAATGTGGAAGCCCTGAAAAATCTGGGCTGCACCCATATCCTGGCCTCGACTGCCTGTGGATCTCTTTCAGCCTCGATTGGACCTGGACAGCTAGTGATCCCCGACAACTTTATAGACTGCACTACAAAACGAGACGGGACTTTCTTCGATGGCACATCCGCAAAGTTCGGCGGAGTGCGTCATGTCCCAATGGAACCATCATTTCATCCAGCAACCGCTGACAGCCTGTTGCTTGCAGCCCAGACACTCGGTTTGGATGTCAAGAAGGGGGGCACTATAGTCGCTATCGAAGGGCCGAGGTTTTCCTCCAGGGCAGAGAGCAAGACCTGGAGGTTGTGGGGAGGTGACTTGATCAACATGACCACCTGCCCTGAGGTATTCTCTCAAATTTCTTAGATGATTTTGAAGTTTTTTCATTTTATTTATTTTGCGTACTTTTCTTTGCACAGGTATGTCTTGCGAAAGAGGCTGGTCTTCTCTACGCAGCCGTTGCCATCGCAACGGATTATGATTCTTGGCGAGAACCCGAGGAATTTGTGTCTGCAACTAGCGTAATGTCAGTTTTCAAGGAAAATGCATGGAAAGTAAAGAATTTGCTCGTCAAAGCTATTGAAATTATTGGAAACATGGATTGGGATCAACATATTAATGATTTGAAGGTATTACTACTCACTTTTTCTGCCATTCAAGTTCAATCAACAGCTTCTTTCTTTCCAGGATGTGATCGACAAGGCAAATGTGTCAAAGAATTGAATGATTGATCATCCGATTGTTCATCTGCGTCAGATTTCTTCGCACTTCTGAATTGATTAAATTAATCAGTATTGCTTTCATTCCTAACATGTCTCATCTAGAATAAATCTAGAAATATCAACAATCGCAATTTATATAATCCACACAGAGAGAAAAAATCCTTTTTCAAAGGAAAATCATTTGTTACAAGCAGAAAAAAGACAAGAATTTTTCGCTCTTTGTGCATCTGCACAGGTTACACTTGTTTTCACTGCAATAAAATATTTTCACAGTATAACGGAACGGGATATTTATTCATACCTTTACAGTTTATTTGATAATCGATGTACAGTGGATCTGAACAATCGCATAACCAATTTGTATCTACAATATACAAGTTCATCTCGGCGTTTTGTCACACTCGCAGCTGCGTCTGAGGCTCTTCGCATGGTGTCTTTATGAAAATAGGGGAGAGGAACACATGCGAAATTCTTTTCATTTTTATCTCTCACAGAAGAAAGCCAAAAAATTTCTATTTTTCTAACGAGATTCTCCCATTGTATTCTTCCCTAAATGAAGTGGTTATTGCAGAAATGATTATCATTTCAAAAGTCTGAGTGTTTCTCGTTGTCGTAAAAAAATACTGAATGATAACCGAACCTCTCGACATTGCAATACAATTCCTAGTATTTCGTCACTCATAAAATTTCCAGAAACGATGGTGACCGGAAAATCACTTGGAAAACTATTCCTAGTGCGATTCTCATCGTAATTGTTTAAATAACTTCCTCACGCCTCATAATACTAATTCAAAACGCCATTCAAACAATTTTAACATTCATAAATCTTACAATAGAATAGTTTTCTCTCTGAACTCGATTAAAACCAGGAATTGAACAGAATAATGAGGAGCTGGAATACATTGTAAAAATACCGATCAAACCAGGATCGGATTTTAATTTAACGTCCATTATTTTCAAGTGTTTTAGTAATTCCGCATGAATCTTGTGATAATTATTTACAATGCTGTTCCCTCTGTCGAATTAATATGCCAACATGATCCGATTGGAATTATCTTTAATTACTACAATGCTGGAAATCGCAGGTGTCTATCCTCAAAAATTACGCGGAAATTCAAATAAATCGTATGATCTCCACTCAAATGACAATTATTTCTGTCTCACGCACCTGCAACGTGAGACTCAATGACAGACGAATTAAAGGAGGAAATAATAGTAGCATGTGCGCCTAGAGGACGTTAATATTGACACAGTGTTCTTTTTAATTCCTTAAACCTTATTGTCAACCATATCGACGTTTATTTTGTAATAGACGTAGGGATAGTACTCGTTCTGACCGAAACCCAGTCCAGGAATATCCATACTCTGAAATCAAAAAATTATTTAAATACTCTTACTGATGATTTATTAAAAAATTACTCGTGACTAGGAAAGGATTTATTAATTTATGAGAAATTCCATAAATTCCATTTCTAGTAGTTGATTGAATTAATTTTCTTACATCTTGATTACCACCGCCCGCCCCCGATGCGGACGAGTCCAAGTGCGCGTACAACTGATTAAGCACATCCCTCAATCTCTTGGTATTTTTCTTATTCGGGTGCAGAAGAATTGCTTGGAAATTTACAGGCAATCCATATCTGCGATCGAATGAAATATATAAATAAAATAAAAAGAACTTTGTATTATATTTAATAATATATTATCCATGGTTGAAAAAAAATAAACGTACCTCAGAACGGACTCCACGAAAACCCGGAGGGCTTTGACGTGAATCCATGCGCAAAAGCACTCGCTGAAATTGACTTTTAGCCAGCGAACAAGAGGTCCAAATTGTTTTTTCTTATCAGTCACCAGTTTGGTGATCTCATTTTTCCCAGCTGCGAGTTCCTCCTCGTTGTACGTAAAATCACGAACGATGAATTTCTTCTCGCGCGCGTGGAGTTTAAACTCCTCAGCGACTTTCTTGAAAAGTGTCACCGTGAAGAGACCGTATTCCGAGTCCTGGGTAATCATTTGGCTGCTCCGAGGTACAATCATGTCTGTGAGCTTCTCGTATATAGCATTCCACTCTTGGAAGTTGGATTTTGGAACGATTACGAGAAGAGTTGAGAGGTACTCGCTATCCAGGATAAAGTGCTCTTTCTTCACGAGATCAGCGAGATTGCGAGTTAGTAAACTTCCGCTACGAAAAGCAATATTAATTCATTTGACTGGCCCAGAGAGTGATTGAGGATATCCAAATACTTTTGCCATTTGAAAAATATTGAAAGTACTTGAATTGAGGAGAGTAACTTGCGTGACTAATTACGTTTGCTTCTTTTCGAGATTGGAGAGGCTTCCTTTAAGATTATTATACGCCGTCGACTTGGTCTTCAAATCGGAATCAATCTGTCCAACTTGCTTGCTAATGATATCAGCAATATTCCTCAATGACTGCTTAATCGGATACTTAGCCATGTCCCATTGAAAACGAGTAATGTAAGACGGCAAGTCACCTGTCATCGTGAAAAATCCATGGAATATCTTAACAACCGTGGATTAGCTGTTTACACCCTCCTTATACCTAATTCTCATATAATTAACAAGGAGTTAAAAAAAAATAAATAAATAAACATGCAAGGTGATGAAATCGTGACCCGCCGTATCGTGTTAGTGCCAATTTAATGAATTGCACTGTCAATGGAATACGATTTTTCATTTATCTAATCAACACTAGCATTTCTATCAATATTTCATGATGGCGAAAGTTGATGAAACTTGCTAATTCACTCAGGTCCATGCCAATTGCTGACAATTATTATTATCATTATTTAAAGGTTCAATACTTCTGTTATTGATGAATAATCTCACAAAGCCCTATCCCTATTAATTGAGGTATGGATTTTATCTTGAATTTAAGCAACGTTATGTCTCAAGCCAAGCAGCACAACAGTTCAAAGCAAATATGGGGTCATTGATTATGAGGATATGGGGACAGTAGAGCATTTGAGAGTAATTGAATCAACTTGTTACACCTCGATTACCCCCCTATGAATTATCTATTAATCGAAACTCTATCGTGCAAAACATTAACTGCACTTATCAATTTTCTGAAGTATCTCATGCACTTAAAGGTAGCATTCCATCGGTTTCTAAGTTGCTCATTGAACATGTGTTTGTGCTGTTTTTGTAGCGATGAATCACACAGAGAATGACGATTTCTCATTTTCAGCTGTCACTTTATTCTAGAACTCGGCTAATGGAAAGTTATGGGCAGAAGTTCCAGCAAATGAAATGACTCCTTCGATTTATCAGTTGTTGCCGTGGATTCAACGGAATTGTAATGATAAAAATTTTTTTTCAGATACAAAAATCTATTATTAAATTTCCAGAGACTTTACCCTGAATTCTAAGATGTGTCAATTCCAAAAATTCACCTGAGAGTCCCTACAATAGAGTGACATCTCTTTGAGAAAAGAAATCGTTTTCCTGTGTGTAAAATGTTCAATATTTTTTCCCTGCATGTATGAAAATTGAATTCTGTAATAATCCAGGGGATTACCCCTTGTTTTTAGTGTAGTGTATAATTGAATAAAAATAAAACTGTTGCCCTGCCAGTTCCTACAATCACATGGAGTTGATATTTGCAATAGCCACTGCTGAGGATTTCGATTCTTCCCACAGACTTTCATGATTATCCATTAAACCGAACATGACTCGACTCTCGATACAAAACGGAATCAATAACTGAAAAATAAAAGCAGAAAGCGTGAAGGAATGTATTATCGAAATATGCATTGGATGTGTGCACAGAGTGGGATTTAAATAATAAGATAATAATTATAAATAATCAATAAATATGAGCTGCTCGCCAGTGTTCACAGTCGATTCGGCGTTTAGATCGGCGAAAAACTAGTGAGAAAAACCATGATTACGGTAGGCAAAGCATCATGGAAGCCCACAAGCCCTCAATTCGATGCTGTAAAAACCCCCATGACAACAATAATGAATTTTTAAAAAAATCTAAACCACATGTACGCTTCGGTGATTCAATGTCTGCCGCGCATCAGTTTCTCCCCCCAATTTTCCTAATCCAATAAAACGAAACCGATCAATGATACTTCGGATAACTCACATCAGATTGCCATCACTTGACTCCTTTGAAAAAAAATAAAATTCATGGCAATATCTGAATATTATTTAACAACAGGAGATCATTGATAATAAACAGTGAGATGATGAATGGCTAGGAGCGTACGAGGATGTCAATACAATTGGAGAATAAAATGTCTGGATGATTAATCGGATGAACACACGTATCAAAGAAATAAATGGATAAAGCATTCTTGAAGTTGTGGTGATTTTATGGTGGAACTCGATAGAAATTCTATTGGAACTGTTTTTCATTTTGTACTTAATGTCATTGAGGAATTCAAGGAATGATAATTGATTGGGATTTTTTCATGAGGTGTAATTTTTCAAGTGCTTATTCATTCGAATATTGGGGTAATCAACTCCATAAAATTTTATCATTTGAACAATAAGAATAATAAAAATTGTATTAGAAGTCTGAAAGTGTGAGGAAATGAATGCATGATCGTCTCGGAAGATTATGGATAAATTCCTGGGAATCCCATTAGGAATTTCTATTTGTCAGAAGTACCACTTAAAATATCGAACAATTTAAAGAATTGGCAATATCCATGAAATGGTTTGACACGTGTAAAAATGAAAGATAGGTTTTTGGGTGTGTATCCAATCGGTATTTGTCTCGAGGCAGTTGGTGGGGATGGGTACCTGGATTAGGCAGTATGCCACAATCGTCTTGCTCTTGTTCTTGATCTTCGCTATGTTCCTCATCGTAACTGTTGTCAGTGTCATCGGCATATGACTTGGAGCTTGATGACGTTGTACGACGTAATTTACGAACTTTTCGATGACAGCGTGAGCCACGTCGTCTCGTTTTATCCTCATCGCTACTGCAATGTGATGAGAAGGATTGGGACGGACTTGTGGGTGTTGGAGTTGGCGATGGTGATGAAGGAGCAGAAGCAGCGCACCAATGTGCATTGTAACACGAGTATATCGATGATTCATTCTGCGTACGATTATCACCAGCGTGGTTTATCGTTAATTTCTTGTCGGCACTGGAGTTATGATTCTGGGTCTCGTGATGATTGTAATGATTGGAATGACTATGAAGGCATTGGCTGTAATGACGTTCATGGTGCTGACCTAAGCTCGGTGCTGGCTCTCTCTCACTACTCTCCACTTCCTTCCAGGGCTTGTGTTGTTGCTGATCCCTCAAGCTCTTGTGTGATGGTGTTACTGGGGTGTTTGGTGGGGTGTCCGGACCCCCCTCAAGGCTCGTGTTCTCACCGTCATCCACTGATGTTTGACCTATCCATTATAACCCATTCCCAGAATCGTCTCCCGTTCTTTTTCTTTTTTATTCTTATATTTTTTCTTACTCTAAGATTCTGCTCCAAACCCTCACATTATCCATAATATCTTTATTCGATATGCTCTCATCGTCAACTAAACTTCTCTTGCTTCCTATGCAAAAACGCCTAACGACAACGCCGACCATAACTCAACCAAAGATAATACAATAAAAGAAGAACATCAATTTGAGAACATGAGTATTTAACTTTATAGTTAATCATAACGTCTATGATCTGTACATCACTCAAATCATCTAAAACCAAAAACAAACAGTTTCCGAATCAACAGCCAATCACTCGAAATAACAATTTTGTTGAATACTCTGTGGTGCCAATCAAAACCAAAAGAAAATACTCATGTGATGTGAAATTATACAAGTCTTGACTAATTCAAACGAAAAATAAAATTGTTTATTCAATCTTCTTCATTGTTCTTTGTATGTTGTTCTATTTGAAATAAATGAACGAGCAAAAAGGCTGCAAATGAGAATTGTACGGTGCAACGCAAACAGCCAATACTTATAATAAATAATAAAATTAATAGTCAACCAAACAAATCATGAAATTCAATCGAAAGAAACCTATAACAGTGGCTACTCCTAGCTTGGTGACCACAGTAACCCAAGCAACTCCTAGCTCATCGACATTTTATTATTATGATCTGTCATTGATCTGTCATTGATCAGTTAATCGTGTGGTCCTTCCAATGACTGAAAATCATTCCTTCGTTACGACTCGAGTTTATCGCGGGCAGACATTTATCCACGCTATTGACATTTTTGTTTTTCCATATTTCGGGCGGTGCGCGTGTTCGAGCATTTCATCAATGAAACAATAAGTAAGGTAGAGGGAGGAGGGTTAATGTGGTCGAAATAAAGAATAAATGAAGCAAGCGAAGCAACATTACAAGTACAAGTAATACCCCCTTTGTTGGAGTGCAGTTAGTCAGGAATAGATTGAAAGAAATTGTGAAATTTAAGTACATCGTTATAACACGCGTTATTAAAACCCATAGAACACTGATTCTTCTATGACAAGTTCTGCTGAACCTTTATTGGATATCGCAATAATTCTCTTATCCTATAACCAACATTGTTGGAATTCAAATTTATTGGAATGTTGTTGAAAAATTCATCATTTATTTTCTGTTCTATGAAGAAATTGCGGAGAAGAAAGAAATGAAGTTGTTATTCGAATTCTTATAGAACTTCATTGGAATTATTGCAGAGTTCCAAAAATAAATTCAATAGAATGTATCACAGAAATTTTTGTATTTTTTTTTTAACCACTTGGCTAGTCAGATCTTTACGTTGTATATCCGATAGGGTGTCCAAACATTCGAGACATATTTCGCTGGAGAAATATCACTCGTATTGATCATCAGAATGATTTTTGTACACCACAAAGATCCACTGAGAGAAAAATCAATCATCATCTCAAAAATTATTTCTTCATCAAAAAAACCTAGCAGTAATTTTTCTGTAAATTCATGATACCTCTCAGATAAAAAATTGGTGCTCTTCAGAGTGAGGAGTAATAAATTAGTTTTGTGATATTACGAGGAAATTTCGATCAGTGAAACATACTCTCAATGGTCATCACCACACGCGGTAAAAATCGAAATCAGTAATTTCCGTTAACAGGAAGTACAAGGAGAGGATTCAGGTAATAATACCAGCTCTGGATGGAATTAATTCCTGTTAATTTGTTCAAGGGAAAAATAAAGAGAAATCGTCAAAAAATAATGGTGATAACATTGATGTTCTGAATGTCACCCTCCCCATCAAGTTAATGATAAATGAATTTCAAATTCAGTGTGCTTGTCGTGTATTGTGTATAGTATTCATCAGTGACATTCCCTAATCAGTGAAACTTCAGTGATAAGAGGTTTAATACGTCATACAAATGGTCATTACTGAGGGAGTCTGGATTTTTTTTGCTTCTCCACTATTTTTTTCTTTTATTCGTTAAATAATTCATTCCTGAATCATAAATTAGATGATTAATCTAGTTATGGTGTTGTCGTGCAATTCCAGACTCCCGCATGCACTAGAATTCTATGACTATACAACCAGAAAGAATCAAGACGAATGGTTGAACCGAAATAAAGAGATGTTGGAGTACTCACTATTGTTGGCCATCAAATTCTCGTGCAATTTGTCTCTCTGATCCTCTAGTACTTCACCCAAGTAGGCAGCAACTTTGCGGGTTACTTGTTCGACAAAGGCATCGAGTTTACCCAGATCATCAGATAATCCTACCAATTGATCCAGGGTACCGACTTTTAGGTCGGGGATGTGGAATTTGTAGTTTAAGGATAAGGAATTTTGCTTGGACGTGAGATTGTTCATTGTTTCCCACGTTTGCTGACATGTCTTGTCCCCAGGGGCAGATATCAACCAGTATTCCGTCATTGTGGGTGGAGACAGGTCCTATCAGATCTGGAAAATTCAGTGAAGGAGAGGATTTGTAATTCAATCTCTGTTTTCCAAAGGACACGTGATTTCGACACCCGATAAAACATTTTCACTAATTTTCCTAGCATTCAATTCTATTTCTTAAATGAAAATTAAAGTTTCGCTAAAAGTTTAATAAAATTGTAGAACTTTATGCACTCACTCTAATTTTTCCATTCTAAAACACAATTAACAAAAAGAAAACACAAAACATTGGAGCGGGGGCGTGGCAAATGGATGTCTCTCTCTTGAATTAAAATTACGTAATAAGGCGCGCTTTTCACGTGACCCATAGAAGAGCCTGAGGCTTGGGATACGAGGATATTCGAAATAAAATTGTTTCATCCAGACTTTCAGTAGAACGAATAGAACTTCAAGTTCTGACAGCCCGATAAATTCACGGGAAAATCCATTTTCCCCCGTGAATTTCCCGGGGGAATTAATTAATTTTTTCGTCAGACGCCTGACGTCTGTATTTGCCGCCGTCACCGTCGCGACTGGTCACAAACCAGAGAAAATCAATAGTCGGCCGAGAGGGGAAAACCGAGACAAGGCAAAAAAAATCAATAACAATAAAGGAAATTTTCCTAACGAAATTGCTCCGAACGTAGAGATACTATCTCGTCTACGACGTGTGTCAGGTAACTTCGTTTGGATATTCCCTGCCATAATTACAAACGGGCGTTGAAATGCGTCAACCATGAAAATTTATATTTGATAATTACCTGTCTGTGAAATAGCTCCGGATGGCGATGAGGGTGGAACCAATGGATCTTTCAGACCCTTTGCTCGAAAAACAACGGTAATTTGATGGATAATAACCACTAGGATGCTCGTCTACTGGATATTCGTCAAAACCATTGTCCCTCACGTGATGGAGTGCTACTTTGCGTTGGCCAGTGTTGGATGCTCTCGACCCACCCGATCCGACAACTAAGCGGGGAGAACAGCTGACTGCCACACCATCAGGTCCAAAGAGGATTGGCTAAAGTAGAGGTTCAGTTCTGGGGATTTGAGTGACTCCAACGGCATCGTAGTACTGCACCCCAAGAGAGGGAGGGCGCAACACGCACTGCTGGGGTGTTCATCAAGTCGACGGGGTGAATTTTATTTTCTGCGGCATGAATGCTTTTTGTTTTTTGTTTTTTTAACTGAAATTAAGCCGACTGCAGGATGTGCGGAAGGGGGAAACCACATCTTGTGGAATTTCAATGAAAAAAATTATTCAATATGTTGAATATATACCACTAATGAATTTATAAATTTAAATAAGCGCGTTGGCCTAGTGGTAACGTGCTCGACTGGCACGCCGGCGGCCCGGGTTCAATCCCGGCAT